CCGAATCGCAGCCTACGATGTACGAGAGTCAATGTGAATGTGTGAGAATAAAACGTCATAAGCGTGCGCCATCCATCCACAAAAAAGAAACTAGTGAAGCGTGAACGGAGCCCTCGTCCTGGTGGCATTTATGTGTTTGGAGAGAAATCCCTAAAAAGTAGAAGGAGGAGAATAAGGACGTGGTCGTGGCTCAGAGGCCAACTTTGGACGATAATTTTGCAAAGGGAGCTAGTGTCCCACTGATCAGTACGTCATCTCATCCTGCTTTTCTATTGGTTAGTTAGTTGATGTAGGTCACAGCAGCAGCAGTGTGAGACTATCACCCCAAACTTCTGACGCTGTCAGAGTTTTATCGCAGGTTGTCTTTGGTCACATGACCATGACAACAGCCGTCCTTGTAACTGCGTCACAGTGCGACGTAGGACCACCGATTTAGAGCCAAGACCAAAGATATCGCTATGATTCCCTCACACACACTGTGTAGCGGGCTTTAGAGAGCAAGCAAGAGTCAGGATGAGGGAATGAAGGAGGTCTAAGGCTGACCCACTGGTCCCTGGTGTGGCTCAATCCACAGACAACCCTCGACTCAGCCTCTGCAACAGGAAATCACAGAGACACCTGGTGGACAGGTGGAGGGTCGTCACCTCCTTGCTTATAAAACCACTATAAGAACAGCTCCCTCCTACCTGAACTCTCTCATTCAGGTCTACGCTCCACCAACAAAAGCCTCCTGATACAACCACCGCAACAGGCCCGAGGTCGTAGCTGGACTCTCCTCCTCTGTGGTTCCACGGTGATGGAACAAGTTATCAAACTCTGTTCAATCTGCTGACTTCCTCTGAGTCTTTAAGAAAAGACCAAAGACCAGCTCTTCACTGAACACCTTTGCACTTGACAGACTGAACAGAAAAGGATGAAATATTCCTTTTACCTCCCACACAGCCTGCTGTTGGCATCAACCCCCTACCACACCTGAACTTGTTCTACGGCACTTATCTAGTCTAGATTGTTTCCTCCTGACTAGATCCTTGCTTGTGTTGTGTCTGCTCTCAGATGTTTGGATAAATCCTCTGCTAAATGAAACATGTGGAATTGTCACAGTTACCCAGATTTTAGCAAAAAATAAGCTTTTTTATAATTTTTTTGAGAAGCCGCATCACTCTTTTTCACCCTCCATCAAACATCTTTCTCAGTGAGTTATTATTTGACAGAAGCACCGCCGTGTGGATGTTAACAGAGGTGCATCCTGTTGAACGTTGAGCGCACAGGCTGGCGAACACAAAGAGATTCAATGTTGGAGAAAAACGGAGGAAACGTTGCTGGTGGCATACAATTGTACATTTCACTTCCAAACTAAATATTGTTGCAGGCCTGCTAGCTGAGGCAGCTGCAGCGAGTTCAGCCGGTCGAGCAGCAGCAGCACGAACAAAGGTGTCGGTGAGAGCGGGAAGAACCAACGTGATGCTGATAAGTGCAAAAAAAAAAAAGTTGGTTTCCATGAGCAAAGCAGGCCTATTTGTACCAACACTTGAGCAGAGTTTCTGTGAGTGGCACATTGTACGCTGCGCTGTGACTGTTTCAGCTGGCACAAGTTACAGTTCTGATCCGGAGGGGCTCCGCCGAGCCAGATGGACTCAGATTGCAGAGCTGTTCCCGTTCACGTCTGTCAGAGAGCGTTGGAAGCACAGAAGCTCTGCAGAGAAGCGCTCGCCTCTACTGGCATTTACAGCCGGTCTGATGATACATATGTGTCTTTGAGGAAACGGACCAAAAGAAGAATTAAAAGAACATCAGAGAGTGTCCGCTCTCATGTTTTTGGTGTAATTTAATGTCGCGATGAAATTAACTCCAGTCTTGTGGGATTCTTTAAAAGGGCTTTAGACTGAGAGGAAGTTCCTGCTGGCTCGCCTCGCTATCCCCTGAACCCCCCGCTGGGCTTTTACTAGACTCAATATGTTCTGTCAGTGAGCCAAGAGGCTGTTTGAACCTCTTTTATCACCGTTACACCTACAACAACACGTCCTCTGACAGCCTGAAACTGACCACAGTCTGTCTGCTGTCACTCTAACTCAAGGCGTCTGATCCCATCACCTGATGAAACGCATTAATTACAAGACAGAAATTCTAATTCACTGATTTAAACAAACCCTTTAAGTTGTACATAGTTTTTGAGGGGTTGGGTAATAATGTTGGTAATTGCATCGACGTAATATTTTGTGTAATTTAAACGCAAACTTCTGTTAGTTGACCTTAATAAAATTGGCTTGATTTCAGGTCCCTTGCTCTGTACTTGTGACATGTGCAATGACAATAAATCTGATTCTGATTCTAACTACCAAACGTGCCTGGACAGGTTTAGACGCTTTAGATTGTGTGTTAGAGGTTAAACAACGATGTCAGAACGGACTTTTCATTTAGTGGTTTCTTAAAAGTTACAGGAACAAAAAGATAAAACAGCCAGAAACTACTAAAGAAAGTAGTAATAGTACATATAATACAACTAATAATTACTATTATTAATGAAGTTATTCATAAACTGCTTTTCTAGATATTTGAAGATGCTTTACATGATAAACAATCTTTAAAATGTTTTTTAAATTGAACACAAGGCAAGAACAGGGCAGACATTTTCAAAAAGGTGAGTTTTAGGTGATTTTTTAAAACTTGCTGCACAAAAAAATGAAAATAAAATGTGTTGAAACTGGCAAAAAATTGACAAAAAAGGACCTTGTTGAGTAAAAAAAAGAAAAGAAAAAGTCTTTTTTGTTAAACATGAGTTTGCATTCCTGCAGATACAAGACAACGGATGAGTTTTATTTTTAACTGACAGAGTCTGAAGCCTCAGTTCTGCATCACCGTTAGCTGAGCTTTAACGAACCAGCATCAGGCTGCAGCAGCACTAGAGATGAACTAAATTCAGTAAACACACGTCATCCTAACTTGTTGAATTTATAGTAATGTGCACAAAAGAGCTCCGTTTTAATGTTTAGTTGTCACGATTATCCACTTTAGTGAAATTGAAGCAACCTAATTTTAAATGTTAAACTTAAAAAACTTGTGCTCATAATCATCACACAAAAAATGTAATTAAATTATGTGGAAAACTAATCAGGACAACTTATTATTTTATGACTAATCAGCTGATGTTTATGCTGCCGATTCCTCTAACTCAGTGTAGTTTGTTGGTTGAACATCATTTCATAAGAAGTCGTCTAAAAATGTAAAGACTGATGCAAACTGTAGAGTTTGTTTGTTGAATTATATTTTTTTAGAACCAAACAAACCTCCTTCTACACACCAGTTATATCCTTTCATCATGCTTCTTTCTTCTTTTTTTGTCTTTCATTGCAGTGACATAAGCGTGACTTGCTGTGGGCTAAAGCGGGCCAGTAAAGTGCACCATTTGCTCTCTTTCTGCTTTGTTTCAACTTAATGACTCCTGCAAAGGCTAATTATCGGGAAAGTTAGAAATGGTGACCAACTGATGAAACCTCAGCCTCGTTTTGAGATAAATGGGCTCGTACAGTTTGTCTTTTAAGATTGGATATTTTATGTGTGGTTTCCAAAAAAAGTCTCCTGGCGATTTCGCGGTTTCGTTCGCTCAAAGCTAAAGAACCGACGCGACCTTTGAGCGCTCGGCCTGTGGAAACATCTGCAACATTTATGTAAGTTTTGTGTTTTTCCAAGTTTCCAAGTATAGCTCCCATCGAAATTCTTACTATGGAAAAATGAATTTGAGCCCAGTGCCAGTGGACTGTTGGGTTGTAGTTAGCCGCTGAAACAGTTGCACTCGAGCCAAGAGAGGAGGTAGGAAACAGACGCTAACATCTCCTGTGAGTGACCCGGAGTAACCTCAGCGGAGATGCTCTCCCGCAGCTATAAACAAAGAAGAACTCTTTGGACTTTCTCCTTCTTGATTTCCAGCTTTTTACTCAAAAAGCAGCCTCCAGTTTGTATTTTTCTTTACTTGCTGAAACAGACACTTGTGTTCTTTTTTCTCTTCAGCCACAAACAACTGCAATAAGACCTGGCGTTTGCTTTAGCTCCACTCTGATTTGTTGAGTTTACGTTGTCGGGGGCATCTCAGTCAAAAGTTGCGCAAGCAGTTAGTCATAGAAGAACCCGAGTTCATCCCAAATACTTTCCTGTTTGTAACACTCGCTCTGTCCTCCTCTGTGGTCAACCCCAGCTCCCCTCTGTATACCAAAACAAACCCAGAAAATGATTCTCAAATACTGCTGAACCTTCTTCCATAAAAGCCCCCGCACCACCACCAACAGCTCATTCCATCCTGGCCCTCTCCTGCTCGCCACTTCGCTCTTTTTCCGTACACTCTGTTCTCCCCTTACGAGTTTTTTTCTTTTTCTTTTTCTCACTGATTGCGTTCCGTCTATCCCCTCGGTTGTCGTTATTCAGCGCAACATGCAGCCTGGTGAAGAGAGCCTCGGTGTAATTGTTGTCAGATGAGAGTCGGATGGAGGTGAAACAAAGAAAGTTGAAAAATATTGGAGAAGAGGGAAAAGAAAAGTAGGGATGGGGATGAAACTGGGAAAAAAAAGAGGGAGAGAAGCAGATGGAAGGTCTGGGAGGAAGGGAGAGGGAGGCTGGAAAAGAGAGAGAAAAAAGTTGCAGGTCGCCATGCCAACGGGCCACGGAGAAAAATAAACATTGCATGTGTTGCGTGCTGGGTTCTGTCACCCTCCAGCTCACCGGCCTGCCCGGCGCTGTGGTGGGAGCGCGCATGCAGCTGTGCATGCATGTGTGCTGCAGCGGTTTCTCAACGCTTTTGTTCTGGGGGGGGTTCTTACATTTACTGGGCCTTTGGAGGAAATGTTTGACACTCCCCAGACCGTACAACAGGAAGCTGAGAGCAGTGCATGGGTGTATATTTGTATATGTGTGTGTCAGCAAAAAGTGAGACAAACCGGCTGTTAAATACAAACACAGACATTAGAGTTGATTCAGTGGATTAACCCTTTCTCTGTCTCTCTCTCTCTCAGGGTTCGGAGGCAATGGAGGACTGTGTGCAGGGGGCGCTGTCGTCGCTTTACCCTCCGTTTGAGAGCACGGCGCCGCCCCTCCTCTCACAGGTACACCGCACCACCACACTCACCTGTATTACCGTGCACATATTTATAACGATCAACACACTCATATTGTTTTTCAGTATTGAATCATGATCAATTTAATTTTGCTTTTTTGACAATAAACTACCAAAAAAAAGACTCTTTTGTGTCAAAGTGAAAACAGATTTCTACACAGTAATGTCAAAACTAAACATCACTGAGTAGATGCTGCAATGACAGCATGAGCCTGTGTGGAAAGCTCTCAGTCAGCCTGAACATCTGGACAACCCATTCTTCTTTGCAAAACTTCTCAAGTAGGACCAGGATCGTGAGCCCTTTTCAAGTCCGGCCATAAATTTCTCAGTTGCATTGCATTGTGGTCTTGCTGGACAACAAGTCACAGCTCTCTTGCAGACTACATCATGTTGTCCTCCAGGATGACTCTACACTTTGCTGCATTCATTTCACACTCCACCTTCACAAGCCATTATGCTGTGCAACATCATGATGCTGCCGCCACTGTGCTTCACAGTGGGGATGGTGGGCAGTGTTTGCTGTCCGCCAGGCTCAATTTTGCTCTTATCGGGCCAAAGAATCCTCTTTCAGCTCACTTCAGAGTGTCTCACATGCCTTCTGGTGAACTTTAGGCAAGATTTAATACGAGCTTTTTTCAGCAGCGTCTTTCTCTTTGCTTCTGCTCCGTAAAGCTTCGACTGGAGAAGAATGGTGGCTGTGTGCACACTCTGTCCCATCTCAGCCGCTGAAGCTTGTAACTCCTTCAGAGGAGCCACGAACGCTTATGCAATTACTTATTTTATATTTTTTAACACGAAATACTTCAAACTGACCGTTGTTGTTGTTTTCATCTGTTCTAAAAAAGAACAGTCAGGAGATCAAAACTCTTTGTCGGCTTTAACATCTCCAACTAAGCATTAACGAGAGTCAAACTCACATTGTTTTTCGAACCTTGTTGCTCTAAAAGCCAGTGGACGAAGGGGCTTCTGAGCTAAAGCTAAAGCGTTAACATTTCTGGGACTTTGGTAATTGGTTCATTTCCAGTTGCAGTGCAGCTCCCAATCAGTTTTCTGTGTTGCTATGGAAAAGCAGTTTGATTAAACAACGGGGAGAAACTCAAGCAGCCTTGGTGATTTCCTTGTTTCAGCCTCTGATTACACGCTGTCTGTCTGGGTCGAGGAAATTCTTCCACTCATTGGCAAATGAAACCAAAATCCTTTGGATAAACTAAGAATGCACAAAGATCCGGCTGAAGTAACGGCTGCTCTCAGTTCCCAATGAGCTGATATTCTGAGGATGAAAGGCCTAATTATCTAATCATCTAATGCATTGTACGCATGAAGTGTTTCTCATCAACTCCTGCATCGTTTCTCCAGGTCTTCTCAGTCCTGGAGTCGACCTATCAACACGACAGTCTTCGCTACCTCCTGGACTACTTCGTACCTGCCAAGCACCTCCTGCACAAACTGCAGCAACACGCCTGCGTGAGTCCCAAACCACCGATAACACACACAGAGCTGTATAATCAGAAGCAGAATCAGCTGTCACACGCGAGACGTATAGTGTGAGAAATCTGTCAGCTGTTCCTTTATTCATTCCTTCAGTGAAAATGGTCCAGCAGTCATTTTTAGAGGCAGAAGTGTTTTAACACCTTCGGAGCAACGAGTTTAAGTCAAGACAAGTGTTAAGCCGAGATTCACGTCTTGTGCTTCATCCGAGACAGTTGATCAGATTTCAAAACCAGGAAATAACGTCTGAGTGAAAGTCAAGTTAAGTTTTCTGTTCTTTGGAATAAACTGAAATCAAGTTTTTATTATAGGCTTTAGCTAAAGCCAGTTCAAGGATCTACTTAACCAGACATATTTATTTCAATGGGACATATTCAGACAAAACTTCAAACCTTTATCCTGACAAGCATGAGCTGCATGTCCTTGTTCGTTTTGGGTCGATGCCGTTATTTCATTCTGACCCTCTATCAGCTGATGTGCAGATGTAGAGTCTTACTGGCTCGACTCTTAAATCTGAGTTTGTGCTCTGAGTAGGAAGTGTTGCTCCTCTGTGGAGAAAGCACAGAAGAGAGCGATAACACTGATGTACTGCAGCCACGTCTTCCTCATCGACTGATATTTGGATGTTTTATGTTGTAGGAGCTGTTTGATTAAATTCTGTTTTTCGTGATTTGTGTGAATGTGAAGATGCCATTTCAGAGGGTTATCCTGATCATGAAATGAAATCCAATCTTTAAGGTTTCTGACAAGAAATTTTGATGAGTCACAACTTGACTTTATCATTTGTGGTTGTCAGTACAACCAATCAATGCTCTCAATATGCTTTTGGTCCAAATCTTCTGTTTAGCATCTCAGCAACTGAAGACTTCAATGTAAAGGGGTCTAAAGGGGTTAAAGCATGCTTAATCTGGCACATGCATGACCTTCTACTAGTTCCTAACTTCGCTGTGGAGGGTCGAGTCTCCTCTGAACCTCTAGCCGGTCAGTAAAATTAGTGAAAGTGGCTGGTGAAATCTGAGATTCACCAGCCGCCGTGACCCCACAGACAAAAGAGGAGGTTTCCTGCTTCAGAAGCTCCTCTGCAAACACAAAGACGGATGAAATTCAGGGAAAGAAAACCTAAATAAAACCCTTCTGGTTGTCACTGAGACTCCTACAAACACCAAAGCAAAAGCGTGGAAATAGTATAATTCGAGATACGCCACGGAAACATTGTGCAAACTTCCACTTTGTGTCCTCACACCACTCACTTACACTTTCTGATTTACACAACAAAACAACATTCCTTTAATTTTACATCCAGAGACACAGAGAGACAAATGACGCACGCTGTTTAACACAAGCTTGGAAGCTAGAAACCTTCTCATATTTCCCTCTACAGTTTTCCTAGACTTGCACACACACACACACACACACGAGCAGGGATTGTGAGCAAACTATGTTTTCATTGTCGCTGAGTGGAGCTGCCTGGGACGGGAGTTAGACTGTGAGTCATGACAATAATTCCTTCCATATGTGAGTGTGTTGCTGCTGTGAGAGAAAGAGTGAGTAACAGAGCAGCAGTGGGAGTCGAGGCAGAGAATGAACATGGCTTTCATTCACCGCGTGCTCGTGCGCGTGCGTCCGAAAAAAGAGAAGATGCTGGAGGTTGCAGACTATAGTAGACTGATTGACGAAAAAGTTTTTTGGGAGGTGGGGAAGACGGAGCAAACACTGGGGTACATTGAGGGGCAAAGTGGGAGGAGGGAGGAGAACACAGAGGGTTACAGAATGTGGACTGACTCAAAACAGACAAACTTTCTCAGAGAGAAAAATGCTTTTTAATGCTAATATCCACCCTAACGGATATCAGACTTCTGCTTCACACAACAACAAGAGAACTGGCGAGAAAGGAGACAGAAGGACGGCTTAAGGGGGAGAAATTGAATAAAGGACAGAGTGGTAGAAAAAGGGGAGATGGAGGAGAGGTTGAGTAAAGAATTTAATTCGATCACGTCTCGTGAGTCTGGAGGGCACGAAGAGGGGAGGGAGCGGCATCGTGTCAGTCGATTAGACGTGACTGGGAGCAGCAGAGAAAGGTTCTGGATGAGTTCTATAATTCAGACTTCAAGAGAAGGGGATAGAGCTCTGACACAGCATTGATTAAGGTGGGAATGAAGGCGTATCACCAAAATAGATCAGCTGATTAATGGCACGCAGGATATCACAAGAAGCTGCTCTACCTAAGGTCTTGGGTAAATGCTTTCACAGCTCAGTGTGGTATTTCTATATTTAGAAGTGATGTGCATGGTTCAGGTAGAGTTTCTCAGTTTTACATTTCTGAAACAGTCGAGTGTTTGAGCAGAGGCTGGCTGCTGTGACGAACTGGTCATCTACAAGTTTCTGTGTGACTCACAGCGACTCTCTGCAGCTATCTAGACTCTTCTCACCACGTCATGCCAGCTCAGCGGTTTTTGCACTTTAGAAAACAGCGTGTGAGTCACATGTCTGATATTTGTATGTGGCACTGGCTTTGGGCCAGATTAGCTGGTGAAAAGTGTCGACTCGTCTGGTATCGGTTCTAGAAAATCAACTGAACTGTGAGCATGCAGGGAGGCTCCAGCCAGCTCATGTGGCCTGTGGTCTGTGAATGGGAGAGCACCATGCTGCATGAAGCAGAACTGTTTTTGGCAGGAAGGAATCCTAGAGGACAGAATTCTAAAAGGCAGTCAGAGCACAACTAAAGGTACAGAGAGAAGACGTGTCCAGCAAAACCTAATATTAAGCGCATAAAGGTTTATTTAACACACTCCATCTCTGCTTCTCCCTTTGTTCTTGTCTCAGTCTCAGTATCTGGGCTGCTTGTTCCTTCACTCCGGCTGGCCTCTCTGTCTGGGCGAGAAGGTGGTGGTGCAACTCTCCACCTTGGACTGGAGGCTTCTGCGCTGCAATGACTTCTACCTGCAGGTGGTGCCCTTCTCTACGCGGTGCCCCAGACTGGCCCTGAAGTGTCTGGCCCCTGGGGGGCGCACTGTTCAGGAAATCTTGGTGCCTGAGTCGCAGCACCCCCTTGTGTTCACCACTGAGTGGCTGCACAGTGTTAACAAAGAACGGGGTCACAAAAGAGAAGGTAAGGAACGGGTGACCTCCGCTTCTGTTAAAATGTTGTTCTTTTTAAAGCACGAAACATGAGAGATTATTTCTCACAAAACAACAAAACAAAAATAGATATTTTTTAATTTATTTGTAACCCCAAGAAAAGGTGTTTTAGCTCGAGCTGTAGCCGTAATCTGAATCTGGGTGGAAATTATTACCACTTCAAGGGTTTGCAGTGAGTTTTGGGAAGAAGATTAGGAAATGAAACAGATGTGTACCTATAAAAAGCAAGTTTATGACTAAAAGACTGAAGGGCAACAAAGGAAGTGAGAGAAGAGCTTAGCAACAGAGCTAAAGAAAGATTTTCCACTAAGCTGATGTTGGTGGTTTGTTTCAGTAGAAGGAAACTATTTGGTCAGTGTGTAACCTCATCAAACATGTCAGCTTGATTTAAACGAAGTCCTCTCTCATCTCCACACAGTCGGAGGAGGACTTGACACCTGTCTGGTCAGCACATGTGATGGTGTGGTCAGACTTCCATGGAAGGAGGTTGTCTACCCAAAGTTCATCCATGACCCTTCTGAAGAGCTGGGCCTGATGTCCGACCGCGAAGGCCTCTTATCCAGCCGCCTGCCCAGTGAGGGGGGCAGCAGCCTTGGTGGCTGGGGTGGTTCATCCTCTGGGGAACTAGACTCCTGGTCCTGGGATGAGGAAGAGGACGATGATTTACCACCAGATGGCCTGGACTCTGACCCTGCACTCCCCCGACGAAGGCGCAGTGAAGATGGGCTTGGGCGGACAGCGAGGCACCCTCAGCTGGACGGGGATTATGTGGAGCTTTTGGAACCCAGAGGGGGTCCTGATGGAGGGGTTGATCCCAGGCAGAGGTACCTAGAGATGCACGGGATCTGTAAGACCAAGACTTTACCCCTGTGCAGGAGAAGTAAGGCTATCAAGCTCCGCAAAGGGAAAGCTTGGGGATACGGGAGAACAGAAAGGTCAGGAAGCTTTCGGGCTATTCTTGGCACCAAAGGAGACGTGGTGACCTCCAAGGGTGACGTAGCGCCACCACAGCCTCCAGCAGGAGCCGCAGAATCTGGCAGAGGGAGGCGGTGTTACTCCTCCTCTGTCCACGACTCTGATGAAGGAGATAAATCAAACAGAGACTCTGAGGGCCTAGAAAGGCATCGTCTTTACTTTGATGGCCCGTTTAAAGAGAGGAGGCCCGGCGTGGGAAAGGAGAGAGATAGCAACGGCCTCACGCAGCCGAGCAGAGATGACCACAAAAGTAAAGACTCCAAGTGTAGTGACGGTTTGGTCACAAGTGAAATCCACGACTTAGCAAACCACAAAGGCGGACATGTTGTAGAGGGCCACTCGGATCATGGGTCTCAGTCCGACTCTGTTTTTGAAGACACTGATAAACCACTGAGCGGAGACAGTGATGCTACCACCCCGACGTCAGACGCACCGGAAAGACCGTTCACTGGAGTCTTGGAAAGTGGAGAGATTAGCAACAGTGGGTCCAAAACGAAGAGCTCGTCCAACCCAAAGGTGGCCGATGAAAGAGGTGAAGGAAAGACGGAGGACAGAGTGTGTCCCAGAGGAAAGGAAGTGAAAACGGCAGGATTCAGAGCGCCAAGGTACACAGTTACTTCATGTAATACACTGTACGCTTTCATCTTGTTTGTTTTCTTTTTTCACACTTCTGTACGAAAGTCCAGCTCGGTAACACTCAAGTGCAACTCTGTGCAGAAGACACAAGCTGTTCCAACGTACAGGCTTACAGCGGAGGACGTAAACACTACCTCAGACAAACGTAAAGATTAGCTTTCTGCTGGACCTCATTAGGATCTTCCTGTGCTTTGTGTTTAGGAGGAAAAGGAAGGGAAAGGGGGCCAAAGGGAGGGCTAGGTCCGGCGGCAGAGTCAACCAGAAAGCCTCGAAACTGCAGGGTAAAACTCCTCAACCGAGCCCCACCACTTGCTCTGCTCCGGCAAAGCTGCCCGTCGCCGAGGAGAACCAGTCAGAAAAAACAGAACAGGACGCCCAAGCTGATGGAGTGCCAACTGCAACCGATAAGGAGACGGATGATACAAAGAAGAGCAGCGCAGGTCTGGAGATAAACGTAACATTAGATCCAACACATATTAAAATATCCTTGTTGTGTTTTCTTGAATTTTTCTAATCTTTTATCAGAGACAGAAGCCGAACCATTGCCGGTGTGTAACGGCCAGTCGGGCGCATCCTTCTTCAACCACTCGAGTGAGAAGGCTGAGTCAGCAGAAGCATGTCCTGACCAACAAAACTGTGTTACATCCAAAGAGCCGGCCCTGCTGAGGGAGCTGGATGCAGAGCTCCTCCAGACGGGAAGGCTAAAGCTGACAGGCAAGCTAGCATAAGACGAAACTTCAGGTCTCTTTTCAATGAAAGTAATCTACGAAAATGAATGGACTCCATCCCTTGCATCCCTAAAAACACGATGGGAACTGCATTGTCAAAGCTTATCCAGAGTTAATATAATACTGATGACCCTCCTGACCACAGGTACGGTGGACCGGCTGGGGCGAGCGCTGGTTTTCATGGAGACAAACACATCAGAGGAGGGTTTGTGTAGGGAGGAGATGGCTCGAGTCCTGGCCTGCTACCACAGAATCACCCGGTAAGGCCGCGCTCCTCCTAATCCAATCGGAAATTGAGAATTCAGAAATGCCAGATGAATGGTTCTGATTGTTAGCTGTAGTTGAGGATATGCTCCTAGATATCACCGGAGAGTGAAGGCTTGTGAACGCAGGTGTCCTTCCAGTGCACATTAGCTCCTTTCATACCGCTAACTGGTCCTCTGGCCTCTGATTTACCCTCTGCTCATGCTCTCTTATACCAATTATGTGATATTTCCTGTACATTTCCTGCCTTGTGTCATTTGTTTCCTGTTACTGAATCTGTTCAGCTAAATCATAATTATATTTGACTTGACTTGACTCTTTGCTGATTTTGCCAAATACAACACAAAGTGGGTTCAGGGGGAAATAAGGCATGCGCCAGAAAGCTGGGAAAAACATAAACCTATTAAAGTCAGTTTAGCAAGCATCTCTGAGTGACTTTACGTGGGTCGATCACTGCTTGCACTTAAAAATAAATAAATAAATAAATAAATAAATAAAAACAGTAAATATGTTTTAAAAAATGGTGAAACATTGTTAAGTTGAAAAAAACAATAATGTAAAATATTTATTAAATAATAATAATTTTCGATGATTTTAAAAACCGGAAATTATGCACAGTTTGGGCCTTAAAAATAAAAAAAAAAGAATTTACTAGATTTTATCTGTAATTGAACAAAAACATGGAAAATATGTAAAATAACAGTTTAAAGAAATTATTTACCACTTTTTAATCCTTATATTTATTTAGTTTCTTTAAAATAACAGCAAATATCTGCAAAATAGCTATATCTTTTTCTGATTTAAATACAGTAAAAAATATATTATTCTACAATCAAAACTTGTAAAAGAAATGATCTGTATAGAAATTATGATTTTTGATGTGAACATTATGTTCAGTGTTTGGCTTTCTTCTTTTTTTAGCAGAGAAATTAATGATTTTTTAAAAATAGATATTATCTGTTATTTATCAAAACATGGAAAGTACAATTTAGGAATATTATCTACAATGTTCAATCCTTAATTTACATATTTTTTTCTTTAAGTAATTGTAATTATTTGTAATATTTTTTTCTGATTTAAATACAGCAAAAATAGTCAAATGTTGACTTTTATTGGTTAACACATGAATGATCACTTTCTTTAATTTGATTTTAAAAGACATTACCTTTAATTTAACAAATGAGGAAGAATCTGTAAAATAAATCTTCTAAATTTGACAGCGTCTGGTTCTCACAGCAGGTCAGAAGTTTTACTGCAGCTTTTGGCAGAAATTATATGAATATATGTAGATGACCCTCTAAATATGGTGTATGAATAGTTTTTGGTTCAACTTTAACATCATTTTATGAATTTTCCTAAATTCCTGGCACTGGAAATGCCCAGTGTCTCATGGTTTTACCCCCCGGTTGCCCCGTTCTAACCACCCACCCACCTCTCATCAGGCCTGCAGCCAAAGAAAAGGGTCTGACGGTGTTAATGGACAGCAGGCGCTCCTCGCCCTCCGCCCTCTGCCTCTCTGCACTTAAACTGTTCCAGGTGAGACGGAGTGAAAAACAAAAACTGTTGTTCAGCTAAATGTGCGAAACGTTTGCTTGTTGCGCCTTAATCGGCCTGCAGATGTGGTAGTAGCTGGAGCACATGTGGGGGTTGTCGCTTGTGTGTGTTGCAGGTGTTGGTCCCCGGCGGTCTGGGATCTGTTTTGGTTCTGGTGGAGGAGCAGCAGGAATCTCTTTCTCAGACTCTGGAGGGAGCAGAGGTGACCTCACACGGATCACATGTTTAGAATTAATGCAGCAACACGGCGGCGTTGGGCTGCTTGGTTGCCTTTTATTTGCAGGTAGAACACCCAAGTGGAGCTTACATAAGAGCGTTAGAACCCCGGTGATGACGTGCAAAGAAACAACAGGAACAAGCCTCCATGTGTGCGTGCATTGCTGCTGGTTCTTGCTTGAACTGAATCCATATTTAGTTTGAATCGAACAGCCCTGGTTCCCGTACGTACACCGCTAACTGTTGCTTTGCACCGACCAGCAGCAGAGATCCTTCTCACTCACATGCATGAGAGGATTCTTCTTGCCATGTGGTTTGTGTTGTGATCTGGCAGCGTTCAAACTTTGTTAACACGGTGAGAGAGAAAAAAAAAAAAACAGCTGCAGGACCTTTGGCTCATTTTGTTGTTTGGTAGCAACTGGTTTTAATCCGGCTCGTAAATGAGCGAATAGAGACGCTGCAGATATTTCTACTTAATGATCCCGACCTGTAATTACAAAATATTACCGCTTTAGTTACATTTATCTTCAATAAAAGGATTTTCTTAGATAACAGTTAGGATAGAATATCACGTGTTGGGCCTCATTAGCTCTCATTATTCTACAGTTTTCTGTGTTGCCTCATCGTTTCTCCTCCATCCAGGTCCACATGGTTCAGGGAACAGCCGTCCTCCAGCAGTACATCGACAAGCAGCAGCTGCCCACTGACATGGACGGAGACTTCAGCCACTGCCACTCAGACTGGCTGGCCTTCAGACTGGTGAGAGGCTGCTGGCTTCACAATACGCGTTGTTCCTTCACTTCCTCACACGCTTCAGTATCCTCCATACATATTCTAGTTTCAGTGGTAGATTCAGACCAGTTCGTGCACTTGAGAGGGAAAAACGATCACATCAGGCTTTTAGATCAGCCGATACGCGTTTCTGCAAAATCATCCAGAAACATTTACTTTGCATGAATTAAGTTTCCTTCACAGAATAGTTGCTGCAGCCCGACAGTCCTGCAAACATGAAGATGTCAAGAGTTTTTTTTTTTTTTTTTTTAAATTTTAGACTGAATGAACACTTTTTCTAACAACTGACTATGATTTTACGGATTTTTTATTGATTTATTTATATTTTTCCTGTTTTTGGCAAATTACATACAATAACCAGTAAAATAACAGAATAAAAACATTAATTTACCCATAAGTAAGCAGATCTCTGTTGGTAATTTGTTCTTCTACCGTGTTTAACAAACAAATTCTGCAGTTTACTGTATTTAAATGAGAAGAAAATATTTTACAGATATTTGCGGTTATATAAAAGACAACAAATGGGGATATTAAGTATTGAAAAATGGCAAATAATTTTTTTAAACTGCTGTTCTGCGGATTCTCTGTTTTGTTAATGTATAGATTATATTTAGTAAAATCTAAAAGTAAAATCCAGTAAAAAAAAAAAAAAAAAAAGAAAAAGAAAGAAAGAAAGGAAGAAAAATAACGTCCACATCAAAGTTTGATTTATTTTTTCTAAAAAAAAAAAGGATTATTTATTTGACAGTGTTTGACAGTAAAATTATAGTTTTATTGAATTTAAATTCACTCTTTACAGATGTCTCCTGTTAACTGATATGAAAGTATTGTTTATAAAGAAACATGGTGAAAAATGGTAAATGATTGTTTTATTGCTATTTTTATTTTTATTTTTATTTATTTTTTGCTATTTTTTTCGTTGTTCTGTTAAATTACAGATAATATTTTATAAATCACGGGTAGGTTTATTTTTGTAAAAAATTTCTTTAAAAAGAAAAAAAAAATTAGAAAGAAAATAAATGAACAAATTTTTTTAAAGCACACACAAGCCAAAACTGTATATATTACTACATTAAAAAAATATTTTTTAATCTATTTTTTCCTTCAACAGTTTTTGAATGTTAAACTATTCTAATACCTTCTAACATATTTTATTCTGGAACATTAGTTGCCTTATTTTCACCATAATTAGAGAAGTTTTACCACATAAAACACGTTCATGACCCTGTTTTGTCAGGTTTTGTTATCTTATTGACTGCAGAAAGTTTTTATTCACAAAAGTGTTTTCCAAGTCTTGTCTGATAATGAAATGTGTAAATAAAGGAGGTTCAGTTGTTCATAACTTGGTAGGAGTTTTCTGGACCTCCGGCTCAAAACGTGAGAGAACAGAGTCAGAGAAAGTAAACTGTGTTTGTGGGGGAGGACAGATAGGAGGATGATGTCTGGAAGCGCCGTCTGTCTGCTGGTGGTCCACGACTGCAGACATCCACCATGAACTGGGTGGAGACGATAAGTCACCAAGAGAGGGAAAAGGTTCAGAAGAATCTCAAGGATCCTTAATGGCTTTCCCCCAGACGGTTTATAGGACTTCATCCAAACAGATGAAAACACTTTCCTGTCCTGTGCTGCTCCTCTGACCTCTCTCATGGGAAGAAAGGATTTCATGTCTTTTCAACCTGTCTCGCTCACTCACTGTCTGGTTTTAATGTGATGGAATATTTTAAACGCTGATCTGTCGCTAACTCCTCTCCTGCTTTTGTTCATTCAGAGTCTGGAGAGTCTGACGGAGCGCTGTGAGAGCGCCCTCTCTCTGCTCGGGGAAGCACTGCAGTCCATGGACGCCGAGCCGATGCCAGACAACATCAAGGTTCCGTCACTCTCTGAACCTCCGTCTAGTTTGACGCCTGAATGAAATACTAATTACTAATACTAATTAGTAATCCCATTGGTCTTGTCCAGGCTGTTCCTCAGAGCATCGACACCCACAGACAGCTGATGGTGAGCGTCCTCGCCGACCAGCGCCTGACGGAGCTGCAGCAGAGGGGCGGAGCCTGGCTGGCCGGACTCACCAACAGTGCATCCGGATTGGCTCAGAAGTCACCAGACTGCAGGTACCGAGCACCGAGGTCCAGCTCTCTGATCCAGACTAACAAGATGAATCCTGCTTACTTTCGCAACCCATTTTTCCAAGCGCAACAACAAGGTGAAAATTGGGGTTTTTGTGAATGTTTCAAGAGCTACTGAAGGAATCATAACACAATCCTAAATCTTAAATCGCCCCCAGGGGACAAATAAAGTTTTCTGAATTGAATTAAAGTGATAAAGACATTCATGTGCCCTCTGAGAGGAAATGGCATCATTGACTGGACATAGTCTCGAGTTGAGCCGTCGCTGAGAGTCATGCCTTCAAACATATCTTACTTTTTTGTCCAGTTTCCTCCTAAATAAGATCATCACTTACAAAATAAACACCAGGCTGTGCTGTAGAGGATTTGAAACTAAGGATTGAAATCATAAACTCGTTAAGAAAATGCTTCCTGAGATAATAAATCAAGGCAGAAGTAGGCTCGTTTTCTCATAGACCTCTGTGCAAATTTTGCAACTGGAGGAGTCGCCCCCTGCTGGCTGCTAGAAGGAACTTCTGATTTAAGGCACTTTAGCAATAATTTTTAAAATACCGTCTACAGTCATCGCTTAACTTTTCATGTCGTCTAACTCTTGTCACCAATCATCGAAATATTATCATGTCCAAAACAAAACTAAAGCCCCGGCTGAACGTTGTGGTTAGTGAGCAAACACTAGCATGTTAACACACTAAACTGGTTTGTCTGTTTAGCATCAGTATGACATTCTGAACATGTTAGCATTGTGGTGCTAGCATTTAGCATTTAGCTCAACATTACAGGAATGCTTGGGAAGCTTCTAAAGATAAAGTTCATCGACCCTTTACTGGGGAAATCTGCTGCAGACTCTTGGTCTTGCACAAGAATTTGTTTGTTTGTTTTGTTGAAAAAGGTCCAACTTCCCTCCTGAGGACCCAAATTTAAGACGGGAAGTAAATGAGCCCTGCAGCAGAACCCTCAATCCCAGTCCAGCTACAAGGCCTAGCATCATGCTAACCCCATTCACACTGACACGTAGTTATTATAAACCAATGCACATACATCCTGCGATAGTTTTCAGCCTTTACAGCCTGGAAATGAAAGATAATGTAGTTCACTAGTGGCACCAGGATGGATGAGTGCAGACAGTCTTATTCACACATTCAGCTAAAGCGCATATGTTTGGATAAAAATAGGATGTTCTGTTATGATGCTAATGAGACGGCGTCCTGCTGGAACGTACATCACACGCAGAACTCCAAGCCAATAAGAAGTCATGACAAGCACAACAGTTCTTATTGGGACAACAACACTCAGACCTTTCACAAACAGTTTGGGCAACAAAAGGGATCTTTACGTCCTTCCCTCTCTTGAGCTGAAGAATTATTTTGTCAGAATAGGTTAAAAATACTCCTCATCCTGAAAACAAAGTTGTTTGTTTGCGACAAAAAAATGAAAACCAGCTGGAGGAGGAAGAGAGCTTCACATGAAATGGAGGACGGAGCGGCTTAGAGATGATCTGAAGACTGCTGTAGCTGCTCTGTTCTCGCTCAGTAATGAGCTTTGGCTGAGAATGTACAAGAATACGCTGATTTGTTTCCTTTCTTTACCAGACAGCTGGTCTGCAATACTTCTTGTTTTCATAATTATATCATTTCTACCAGCCAAAGTGTTTTTTTTTTTTTTTTAAGTTGGCATGATTTCTCTGTCAGTTGGATTTGAATGAAAATAAGAAGTCTTTGTTCCTCTCAGAGCTGCTCTCGCTGCCACCTCCAAGCTCTACGACAGCGTGGACGATGCTCTCCATCGGCTGGTCCGGGTGTCCAACCAGAGGGGACGCGACCTGGACGCTCTGGGACGGCTGGCAGGGCTGGTGGACAAACTGGAGAAGGTTTGTGACGAGGGACGGAGAGGAATTACTGCGATGTTATCGGCATTATTGGCTGTTTAGTTGTTGTTAAAGTTGACTTAAGTTTTTGGTGTTCTGGTTGTTTAATCGTAGCAACGGGACTTGCTTGAGTTCCTTGAAGACGTTCCACCTTCATCCAAGAGGCTTCATCAGCTCTGACTGACTAGTTGGGAGTTCCAGATACTTATATCTTAAGGAGCCATTAACACCTGAGTTTCAATTGGAGGTTTGTTGCTCCTCCCCATCGTTATGTGGGTCGTTAGTGCTCCCCCTGCCACAGTGGGGTTCGGTGGAGCTAGGTGTGGATGCAGGGAGAGATCTTCAGACTGAATTGTAAACAGATGAGAGATGATGCCACAATTCAGTCCTAAGAGCTAAAACATCTTCAGGAAGATGAAACCACATTCATACCCAGCCCTAACGAACCCCACTGTGGCAGGGGGAGCACTAACGAGCCACCACTGACTGTAGGGAGACATGGCACTGAGGCTCGCGGAAGACGCAACCAACTGGGGCCGTCCACCCGGGAGGAGTCGCAGACCAAGAGCGCTGGGGGGTGCTGGCACCCGGACCCCTCTGATATATAAACCTATATGCCAGGAGTCCTTTACAGCGTACCGGGGGGGGAGGGTCGTAGATGGGGTGGTCCGGGGTGGTCCGGGGGAAGTCATCGTGGTCGTTGACCCATATGGGGGTTCCTGCTGATAGCCAATCAAAATGAATATAACAGAAAGTCGCCATATGACGGAGCCGCTATACCGGGCTGCAGGGAGGACGGGATCAAAGCAGCGGACCGGTATAACAGGCTATAGTGCTGAAAGGGTTAAGGATATAAGTATCTGGACTCCCAACTAGTCAGTCAGAACTGATGAAGCCTCCTGGATGAAGGTGGAACGTCTTCAACGAACTCCAGCAAGTCCAGTTGCTACGACTAAACTAAGAGAATAACCATGACCTGGAGGACTGAGATAGGTGCACGCATCCCCGTAAGAGGTTCTGTCACTACTGGAAACTGGGTCGAAACTCTCTGGTTTGCAGTTATTTAGTGTGAGACAAGGTTTTCCAGTCTCCCGTACACACTGGATTACTGACGTTCATTCTCTCACCCACATTTCTCTTTGTTTCCTGTCTGTTTCTTCACTCGGTTTTCCCCTTCCCTCACCCCTTCCTCTGCTGGCCTTTAATCCACAGTGTGATAAGGAGATTGAGCAAGTCCAGTCCCAGCTGGAGGACTACAGGGACCCTCCCCTGTCGCTCAGCAGACTCTCGCTCAAGCAGCAGAAGTTCAAGACGTTCAGAGAAACGGCCAACGTGAGTTTGTGCAAACACGCGGCTCTTTCTGTGCGAATCAGAATCAGTCGTTCTACACATGGACGGATTTTAATGTGAAAATCTACTGTTTCACTGTTCAGAACGTGTCTTATGTGGACTTTGTGGATCAAACAAATAAATGGTAAAAAACTATTTAAAAAATCTGTCAGCAAAAGTACCAGAAAAACAAAAATATGTAAAACAGCTATTAAATGTGTCTGAAATACAGTGTATAGCTGTTTTTTAAAATTAATTTATTCATCGTAAATTTTTATAAAAAACAATTGTAAAAAGCGTGAAAAAACTAAATAAAATACTTATACAATAATTATAAGCACTATTAAATAAATAATAATAAATACTATAAATGTATTAGAATTTATTTTATAAGTAGAAAACAGTTCCATGGTTTAACATGATGAAATTATTTTAGTATAGAAACGGTAGTAAAGCTATTAGAAATTAATTATTAGCACGATTTACACTTTTATTCCTTGAGAACAGAAATTACGCCGATTATTATTAAATATTATTATTAAATATCAGGAAAAGAATTGAGAAAAATTACATGATGATGGTTTAGAGTTTTGGCCTTTTTTATGCTCAATGTGTAAATTAATCTCTTTTTTAAAAAAAAGATTTTTATTCAATAATTAAATTTAAATAATTTTTTTTAAATAATAAAAAATATTCAACATTTTTCAATCCCTAATATACATTTTTTTTAATTTTATTAAATTATTATTATTATTATTTTAATTGCAGCAACATGTTACAGAACAACATCTGTACACTAACATTTTATTTATTTATTTTTTCTGGCAGCAAAGGTGCTGAAGAGAGCTGAAGTCATAGTCATAGAAGCAACGCCTTGTTTTGGGGGGTTTCTGTGTATTTTTGCTATTTTTGCAGGTATAGTTGAGTGAATTAGGAAGTCTGTGTTGCCTGGATGACTCTGGTTGAGGTGATTATTTGTGCAGATTAAACCTCGTTAGTTCAAAAACATCCAACATTTTGGTTAAACTGATGAAAAATAAGCTCAAGCAGCAAAAACCTCATTTATTTGAACAGTGTTGAACTTTTAGAATCTCAGTTCTCAGATTTTTCCCCCTGAAGTATATTGTTAACGGAGAGTCGAGGTCTTTATGACGCTGCTTTAACGTTTTCTTTAATCACCTTTAATTCATTATTTAAAAAAACGACCTTTTTTGTCATGTTCCCAACTTTTTCTTCTGCTAATCTGTTTGATTTAAGCCACTAAAACCAGACATATAAATATGTTAAAAACAATAATATTACATGTTTTAAACCTGGCATCTCTGGTGTAAACTCCATGATGTACTGATGTTTTTATGTTTGACTTTGTCTGTACGGTACGTGGAGGCCCTTTAACGTCTCCCACCAACACAACAAACCTCCCAACTCCAGAATAATGAACTTTATTAGCCCTACAAGAGCCTTAAGCTGCACATGTTGCTGAGAATTACTCTCTGAAGGATTTAAGGAGTCAATAACTACAAGTGTTAAATGTAAACAGATGTGCGTCGGAGCCCACTGCGCCGCTCGCTGCTATGTTTTGCGTAATTCTTGTGGAAACAGTAGAAGTTTCTGTATTCCCAGCAGAGGCGGCTGCTGTTGTTCCAGTCGTGATTTCCCCAGCGTGTCTTTGTCAAGCCTCTAAACACTTGAGGGCGCTTCCAGACTTCACAGCGGATCCTACTGCTTCTTTTTCAGGAGCTGCACAGCGAGACTCTGTCGGTGCTCAGCGACTTGGAGGGATGGTGCGAGCTGGACTGGGCAGGGCTGAGCGACGTCCAGATCCGCCTTCCTCCGGTCAGGGAGCGGCTGAGAGACATGTCCCACTGTCTGTCCGACTGCTGGACCACGCTGGACAACACCCAGAGGCTGCTGTCCACCCTGACGGAGGTACAGGCACCAGGCGGCTTTTAGAAATACGCTTTAAGAATATTTCTGTAAAATGATTTGTGTCAAACAGCAGAACGTCCGTTAAGTAGCGATTTCATCTAATAACTTCAGATAATTGTTAAGTTAGAACACATATGCAGAAAGCTGGACATCATCATCACAACAAGAGATGATGCCAAACTGGTTAGCAGTGTGTAATGAAGAGAGCATGTGCAGTAGGAGGTGAATAAAAAGGGCCCCAGGATGGAGCCCTGAGGAACTCCACAGCACAGAAGACAACAATCACACTGCAGTCGATTAAAGGAACAATATGAATATTGTTATTTTAGAGCTACACCGGCTCAGTCATCCCACGTCCTCACATAATCTGATGATATATCTGTAGATCTGGAACCGTCACCATGTGGCTCAGCTCTTACTGAGATGCAGTTTAAGTTGCACCACATTCAGACTCCTACAAGTCGTCGTTTCTTCCCTCTTAGGGCAACAACAATCACCTTTTCCTTCCCATCTCCTATACAGGCGACCCAGTGGTGCGACGCCGTCTCCACCACCCCCTCCTCCCCGTCTCCCTCCTCCCCCACCTGCCCTCTGGCCTCCCTCCCTCCCATCCCGCCGTCCCGTTTCCAGGACGCCCGCTCCTTGGCCATCGAGCTGGGCGGCGGGCAGCTCCTGGATCTCTGGACCCAGACAGTGGAGCGCTACCAGCGGACCGTGGCGCAGGTCAAACCCCGCTTCCTGCAGTCCGACAGGACGCAGCACCAGAACCAGGGGAAGCCCAAGACCCCCTCTGCCAGCAGCCTGTGGGACCTGATGGGCCCCGAGGGGGAGGGCGACTGGGGGCTGGGAGCTGGAGGAGGGGACGGAGGGCTGCAGTCGTGGGGGTCTCTGGCGTCGCTGTTCAGGCCCCAGACCTGCTCCACGCTGAAGATCGGAGAGGATAAAGGGAATAAGAGAGACGGAGCAGGAGGAGGAGGAGCAGGAGGAGCTGGAGGAGGAAAGTTTCTGCAGAACCTCCTGAATCCTGCAAAGAAGAGCGTGAGTCCGTCTATCGATGTTCAAACCAAAATCCTGCTATTGGTGCATATTCTGGACTTTTTTGCTGCTACTTTGAATTTGAAAAATGTAATTTGACAAAATAAATGAGCTTTTTTTCACTATTAATCAGGTTTTTAGCTGCAGATTGACGTAAAACCGTCAAATCTATGTTTGCAGGCTTTTTTTGTTTGGTGAAAAATCTTGTTTTAAAAATTGTATCTAGAGTTTTAGAGGCACACGTTAAGCTCAGCTTGACTTGCAACAGAAACAAGAGCCTCATCGTGTCTTATTGTTTAGGAAAATGTCTTAAACTTAACTTTCCATTTGCATGCAGCCCAAACGTCCTTCCTCGTGCACAACCACATGATTCAGATGCGCAGTTAAAGACACACACGGCAAAAGTTCAGAATCAAAAAAATATAGATAATAATAAATAGAAACCCATTTAAAGTTTGAGTTTTAGATCTTGAAACAGTGGAGTCAGTTCATCTTCAGTAATGAGACGCTGATATTTAAGTTTATCACCATTTGTGTTCATCAATTTGGACATTTTCAACAAATTTGGGGTAATTTTGAGACACATTGTGAGTAATTTTAGACAAATCTGATCCTTTCTGGGCAAATTTTGAACAAAGTTTGACTTAAATTGTACATTTTTTGGTAATTTTTAACTCATTTTGGACAAACTTTGAGTCATTTTGGAGATTATTCAACTCTTTGGATGCAAATTAAGTAACTTTTCAATCACTGTGAACACATTGTAGGTCGTCATTTTAAACACAACCTGCGTGCTTCACTGTCTGTATATCATTTTTGATAACTGATTTCTGTGTAAAAACGTTTTTACTCCAGTTTTGGTTTGAAAATTATTCTGCTTTAAGAAAAAAACGACCGTAAACTACCGTTAAGTTCTAATTAACAGTGACCCAAATACACATGTATGTGAGCTGGGGTTGTTTCTGGTGACATGAGCTTTTTTTTTCTCCGCTGTCGTTCCTCTCAGCCCCGACGAGCCGTTTAGCGTCTTTCAGCTCGATGTCTTCTGAACCTCGACTGGTTCAGACTCACCACTTTCATCAGCTTTGGGTTTGGCCACAACACGCAGCTGTTTTCCGTGAAAAGTCTCCAAAATCTCACACTGCTCTGCAACAAATGGCAGATTTATCCCACAGTTCGCTGCCAGAGTTGAGCTGCTGAAGAGCCAAATATTTCCCTCAGGAGCTGGTGGAGACCAAAACAGATGGCATAAAACATGGCTCCACACGAATCAGGCCTGCAGCTCAGGATTTTTTTCTTTTGTCACTGTTGATTAATCCGCAGATTATTTTCGCGATTAATGGATTAGCTGTTTGGTGCACAAAATGTCAGAAAGTGGTGAAAAAAATGTGGATCAGTGTTTCCTAAAGCCCATGATGAGGCTATGAAATGTGTAGTTTTGTCCACAACCCAGAAAACATTCACTTTACTGTTATAGAAGAGCAGAAAAAAAAAATCAAGTTCAAGAAGCTTTCTTTCTTCGATTCTTACTCAAAGCAATTAATCGGTTATCAGAAGAGTTGGTGATTGAGCTAAGAGTTAAATAAACGCTAATATTGCTCTGTTGTGTAATTGTTGTATTAATTTGATATATTATGTCGCCCCCCAGTGGCCATAAAAGTCACTGCAGGTTTAACAAATTTAAAACAGTAATAAAATAAAAACCATCTCGACTATCCAACAGCCCACCGAGGCGCCGCTCCCGCCCAAGCCACCCCGGAAGCGCCACCCAAGCTTCGACCTCCAGGCCCTCCTGGCGCCCCGCAGAGGAAACGCCACCCCCAAACCGGCCGAGTCCCCCGTGGGCGGGCCGAGCCGTAACTCCCCCATGTCCTGGCTGGGCCGGCGGGCGGTGGCTGACCCGGTCATCACCACCAGCATGGCTGCGGCCATCCCCGGCTGGGGCAGTGCAGGAGGAGGCGGAGGAGGTGGAGGGGTGCTGATCCGAGGCGTGGAGGTCAGCAGCAAGGAGGTGGTGGACCACACGGGGTCGCCACGGCAACACGTCCTGCTGGGGAGGACGGACCGGGAGACGGGGACGGACAGGGCCGGGTCCAATGCACAGAGGTGGGCGTCTCCTCCTCTTGCTTGTGTGGAAACTTTCTGTGCGTTTTGGGAGTTTGTCTGCAGCTCAGAGCTCCAAAACAAGAGCAGCACGATGAATGACATTAAGAACAGACCAGGCTGAGATGAAAGAGGAGAGTGATGCATCGCTTCTGGGATAATTTAAGCACAACTGAAGTCTGTTTGAGAATGATTTTATCAGCCAGCGTGCAATCTGCAATCTCAGATAATTTTTTCATTACCAGCTCTTTGATCCGTGTCCATTGCTTACTGCTATCTTCACTCCCACTTCCTCTTCCCTCCATGTTTGTTTCTCTTTTGCAAATTCACTCCAACGTTTTCACTTTCTCCTTTACATCTCCTCCATCTCCCACCTTGACTTCCCCCCTCCTCCCCCTCCCATCCCGCAGTAAGCTCTACCTGCTCTGGTGCAGGATGCTGAGCTCGGAGAGGCAGTATGTGACCGTCCTGAGGGGGGTGGAGGAGACTTATCTGCCCCTGCTGGAGCTCTCGGACACCCCGGCCTCCATCAGGGGGAAGGCTGACTCGCTCTTCCCCAACTGGGCCAGCCTCGGCAGCTTCCACTCGCAGAACCTGCTCCCCGCCATGGAGGGCGCTCTCGTGCAGAGCTTGTTGCAACAGGACTGCTTCAGCAAATACGTAAGTTCAGGAATGTGTGCTGTCAGTTGTTGGATTTACTTCATTTTGCAGATGACAAAACGGAGATTTATAGACACTAGAATAACGTTCTGTACCACAAAAGCAAGTCAACTCTGTTTCTATAGTACATTTCTGACACTAAGGCAACTCAAAGTGCATTAAAATGTTTAGAAAGAAAGAAAAACAGCAAAAGATTATTGAATTTAAAATGAAAGAATAGAAAAAAGTAAAAAAATTCAAGATAAAGTGTGAAATAAATTCAAAAAAGTCCTTTCCAGTCTTGTCGCAATACAAGTTTTAGAATCCTGAAGACAAAATCAAATGTTTCACCAGCAACAAAGCACAAATTAGCAAAGGAATAAATAAGTGTTTACTATTAATCCGATTTTATTTTTTTGTATCCCATTAAAAACCTCAGTTCTGGATTCAAACAGAACAAAACGTGGACCAGAACAGCAGCATTCATTTGCATCCTTTCCCTCTGAATTCTTTTACTTCTATCCGGTGAAAATGTTTTGTTCATGTTTGTCTTGAGACAATAAGATTTGAATCAAACCTCAAGAAATCTCAAGAATTCACGTCAACACGGGCTGTTGGATGAAACAAAATTCATCACAGGATTTTGCACTGGAATCTATTTATATAAATCTACAACAGGTTTTATTAGACATGTGCAATGAAATGCTTTAGAGTGAGTGTGAATGAGTGAATAAACTTAATTCATTGAGCTGCTCTCAAAAAAAAAAACTTAGAATATGCTTTAAAATGTCTGAATTGCTGATTGTGTGGATGTGTTTTGTTGATTTCTTTCTGTGAACCCTCAGCGGGAGCAGTTCCTGCAGTATTCCCACTACATCAGGAACAAACCAGAACTGGACTCCCCTCTGGTCACACAGGCCGCCGACTTCTTCAAGGTAGGAATCATCGTGGTTCTGTTTCTATTCAAATCACCGAATCCATCTGTTAATGCTGACGACGCAGGTGACATAAAAGACATTTCTGGGTCCAAATACTCCTTCACATTCTAAATGGAACCTGTAAACCCTTTTCATGAGGCTCCATTGAGGGTCTGAGGCCAAAGTTTAAGTGTGTCTGGGGATTTTGTCTAAGAGAAGGCACCATGAGGTTGTGGATACCAACAGTCCAAATGGTTTTTCCTTTAAAGATAGAGATCCGACTTCTAGAGGGAGGAGAGTCGCAGACCCTTCGTAGGAAACAACTTAGGTGGGCATCTGATCAGGACTCCTCAAGGTCGCCTTCCTTTGGAAGAAGCTTGGACAAGATGCCAGGGTAGACTTGGGAAGGAATACATATCTCATCTGGTCTGGGAACACGTTGGGATCCTCCAGGAGCAACTGGAAAACCAACCCATACCTCCTAAACCAAACCTGAACCCTAACGCCTGCTTAGTCTGCTGCCACCAAGAAAACGTATGAATGGATGATCAGTGTAGCCGTTCTTTCAGGTGGTGGACGAGTTAGCAGGAACCCAGCTGACATGTTTTCGTTGTAATAACGTTCTAAAGAATCTCTGCAAAGTTTTAGTGATCAAGTAAGTTTTGTCTCAGTTCCTAGAACGTTATCCAACCTCAGCAAAAGGTAGAGTAATGTTCTACTGCAGGAAGAGGACATTCTATAAATGTTTGTGACAACATTGTTAGACCATTATGCCCCAACATTCTTAAAATGTTTTCCAAGTGTTGCAGAGCGAATGCCTCTGCTAGCATGTAACGTTTTGGGAATGTTTTATATAAGAACATGCCTTAATGTCAACAACATCCCCAAAACATTCTAAGACATCTGCAAAACGTCCAACCTTAAAAGAAATGTTCTGTCATCAGACGTCTCAACAACGTATTGCAAACATTTTTGGACGCTGGTTTGAGAACGTTCTCTAGCTGTCACAGAACTTGCTCTGAATGTTGCAGTTTGTCTTCGAACGTTAGATTGAGACATTTTCCTGACAATAAAACTTAAATGTAGGTAACGTAAATGATATGCCGGGTTCAGGTTTTTCTAAAAATACCAACAAAAACAAACAGAGCTGCTTTAACTTTGGACAAAAACAAAGATGATAAAGTTTTGGAGGGTTGGTGAAGTTAGATTAGTTCATTATAATCTGCCAGAGCTCCAACTCTGACACAAACACAGCGCTGGAAATGTCTTTTACAAGTGTTGGCGGGCGGGTTAAATGCCTTCAGTATGAGGTACAAACACCTGCTGGTGCCCAAACTGGCAGAAACAAGTGGCATCATATGGCAGCTTTGCTGATCTGAGCGCAGGAACATGTGTCCTGCAGCAACGTGGAACGTGAGCATTGGAAGGAAAGGGGAGGAATGACCGTCTGAATGTTTTGTTGGACTCGTCTGTTGAAACGACGAGGGACGCGTTGACCCTGAGCCAAAGCAGAAGAAGAAACAGCATCGTCGACAAGCAGCTACGACTGAGCTTCAATGGAAGGAGTTTATGTGCCTCCCTGCTTTTTTACTGCTGTTTCATTAAACTATATTTCAGACAGAGAAAGGCCCAATTCTCCCTGATGAGCAACACTCCAGATTAGTTATTTGGTTATTTTCCCTTTTTTAAAAAGGAAAAAAACAGTGAAATCACAACATGAGGACATCATTATGAGTAATTTTTGAGCACATCACAAGCACAAACCAATTAAAGTTGCTTTATTCGTTTGTGTCGGCAATTAAAAATGAGCTGTATACAGTAAAGCTAATTACATGTTTAATGTACACTAGAAAAGCCAATTAAAGGCGGATTATAGAGAAAGTAATTTGAGCTCCCGAGCTACAATTAGCTAAAAATAATACATCGACAGCATCGTGAGATTACTACGAGGACTTTATGTGGAGAGATCAGAGTGCTTAAGATCTCTGCGGCTATACTCAAGTTGTGAAGTGTTTCATTAAGGCGCAGTTCCACCGGACGGCCAGCAGGAGGCAGCGTGAGCTCGCAGCACAGCAGTAGCAGCAGCTTTAAAGCGGCAGAAACACATTGTGGGTTACGGGAAGCTTTATGGTTATCGTGATGGTGATGAAAGCGGCGTTCAGGCTGAACGATGATGGGATCATTTTGGGGATGATTGTTATGACGGGAGCCGCTTTTTCACGGTTGCTGGGATCAGCGGACTGGGGAGAAAAAAGGAAAAAAAAAAAAGTGGAAGAAACAAGATTGAAGCGTCAATTATGACTGTAAAAATTAGTCTTGGCTCTTTGTAGCTTCAAGACAATAATTAGCCTGATTACACATGCTTCAAGTTGTAATCACAGCAAACCGAAAGGGCTCTTCAGCGGAAAAACAAAAAAAAAAACACCAAAACTACGGTGTTCTCCATCCAATTCTCCTCCAGTTCAAACAAAGTGTTACCTAATAATCATCATCACTGTGTAGCATCTCCACAATGGATTTAAAACCACAATCAGCCTAACCTGGCAGCGTATTTAGTTTAGCAACAGCACGCAAATCTCCACACATGTGGCTTTACAACACTTTGTAGTTTACTTTTTGATCTTTACTCTACATTTAGGGAAACTCAACGAGCTGCTTAACAAGGTCACTAAACCAAGAGTTTGCAAAAATGGCACAAACAGTTGAAGAAGTAGTCAGATACTAAAGTAAAAATACTCCATTACAAGCAAAAGCATGTAAAAGGCAGGAAAAAGCAGCAAAATATACAGAAATATTGAAGTAAAAGTACTGATTTGGTCCATTTTACTGATATATTTCTATATATGTGGCGTCATTAGATTAAAACTGAAGCATCAGTGTGTCAGCAGCAGGTTTGAACGACTTTATATCCAGATAAATCTGAGGAGGTTGTCAGATGATTAATGGGAGAAGAAAAGTTCAAACACTCGAATCTCTTTGGAGTTTTTGGACTTTTTCTTTCATCTGTGATTTTTTGGTGAGATATCTGATCATTTGAACATTTATTGAACTACGTGAGAAGTCTGGTGGGTAGATAGGCGACACGTGACCCCGACCGCACGCCGCTTCTTTGTAAGACGCCAGACAGGTTGGAAACTCCTGCTTTAATCTTCAACAAGCTTCAACAAGTGCATCATTTCATCCATTGTGGAAAGTCTTCATGTTGAAAGTGGCTAAAGCCGTCAGATGAATGCAGCAGAATGGAAAGTACAATAATTCCCTCTGAAATGTGGCAGAATGGATGAAGCAGCATAAATGGAAATGTAAGGTGTACTCAAGTACTGCACTAGAGTACTTAGTTATTTCCAAAACCAAAAAAAGAGCTGCTGAGACCTTTACATGCTCCAGTTGAAGATTTGTTTAAAGAAGCCTGTTTGACAAACATGTCAAAAACAAAGTGGAAGTAAAAAAGGCTTCAGGGTCTCCAAGGCCAAAACCAACCAGACTGTCTTAGAAAGTAAAAGCTCCCTCCACAGAATCAAACCCAACACTAAGCTCCCTGACTGACCACAAAACAGGAGACAAAGAGAGGAAATAAACGTCACCACTAAGACTGAGACACTTTAAACAGAGAAACGACCACACAGAATTCCTCAGCGCCAACTCAACATCCAGCTCAGTGGCTAAACGGCAACAGGAACGCTGTGTTCTGATGGTTGATGTTCAGCCGCACTGACGATCAGGTGGAGTTCAGGTGGAGGTGATTTAGACGCTCAGACACAGTGAGAGAGACGAGGTCTTCTGAAGAGAGGCCTGAGAAAGTCTGAGGACAACGTTTAAAAAAGCCAAATTTATTAGAATTTAAAGAGGAAAACACAAGTTGGACCCTGATGTCATTCAGCTTATGCAGCACGTTTTGACAGAAAATATAAAAAGTTTTCTGTTGTGTTCGTTATTTTCACTTGAGAACTTTAAAATAAAACTTCTGTAGCATCGGTGCTGTTTCAGAAACAACCTCCTTCATTATGTATGTAATGATGTAAAGTTAATCCTTATTAGTGACCATAGATTGTCCACCACTTTTCCCATTGCATTGTGGGTTCATTTACTGCAAAAACACTCACTGTGCAACACTAAAACCAGCAAACCTAACCCTGTCTACATGGCCCTGGACTCCACTGACCTCCGAAGGCATTTGTTAGCAGCAGATCCTTAAAGTCCCAGAAGCTGTGGTTTTTATCAGTTTGTGCAGCAGTAGGTCTTCTGGGAGTTTGGACCACGACCCGTTCTTGGACCACTGTTGGTAACCCTACAAGACCTGCTGCTTAGGAGATGTTCTGACCCACTCGTCGACACTTTGTTCCTGCTTCCATGACATCAGCTCTAAGACGTGTCTGTTCCCTCGCTGCCTGATGTACGCCACCTCCCCACAGGTGGAGCTGTAACGAGGCGATCAGTTCTCTTCCCTCCACCTGTCAGCGGTTTTAATGTTGTGGCTCACTGGTGTATAATTTGATTCAGTTGAATGTGAAGCGGAAACACCAGTTTAAACACTCGTATCCCTTTTCCTCTTCCTCCTCCTCTGCTCTCTCTCCCACCTCAAGTCCAAACTGCCCCTGTCCTCCCCCCTCTCCCCCCTGTCCTTCCCCCACTGCCTGCAGGCTCCCATCCAGAGGCTGGAGCAGTACTGCGAGGCCCTGGAGGAGCTGGGGGGGATAAACCCCGCCTCAGACTCCGCCCTCTCCACCCTGAGACACGCCCAGCGGCACGGCGAGGACCTCCGGGCCAGTGACCTCATCGTCGGATGTCCGGTGAGAATGCCTGTCCCAGTTTATGACTCTGCAACTGTCAAGTCCTACTTTCTTTTCTTAGAGGGAAAGAAACTAAATCGTCTTGTTGAGGTCAGGCCAGTGGAAGCGCTGAAGCTGAGACTCGTTATTTATAGGTTTTGTTATCAAATATATATATTTTTAATTTTAAAAAAGACAAAAATGGCTTAGTTTGACTGCATCTTTTTGCGTAAGAAAACAACAGGTATCCTGGTATTATTCAATGAAAGTCTGAACTTAAAACCACAAGTTCTTCTTTCATCCACTTAAATCTTCTCTACAGTTGCTACTGAAGGGATGGAAGTCCGAGGAAAGATGCTGTTTCCTCAGACAGATGGTTGCCTTTACTGTTATTGTGGATTTGAAAAAAAAAAAACGACTCTAATCTTCATCAAAAAGTCAGAAAAAAACACCATATTCTGCTCTGACACAGCAGTATCATTCAGAGGTAGTCGTGACTGGAAACGTTTGACTCCCACACACACACACACACGCACGCACACACACACACACACACACACACACACACACACACCCTCTCCTCCCCTTTTTTTTTGAGCGAGGGGAGAGATTACGGTAGCGCAAACACTCCCATTGAGCTACTTCAAATCGCGCTGCAACAGCTCTTCAGGTAAAAGTGATTGTAAGTGCAGGTGTGTGTGTGTGTGTGTGTGTGTGTGTGTGTGTGTGTGTGTGCGTTTGGGTGGGTGTGGAGGTGGGTGTCCATAGAGTGTGTGGAGCATCACTTGTATCATGACCCGCACAACTCTCGAAGGTTTAAAAATAAAGTTCTGGCTGCTCATAAATGAAGAGTCTTTTTAATTTTATCGTCGGAGTGAAATTGTCAGCGGGATTTGTGTGTGTTAGTTGTTTGCGTCTTCGCAAAGTCTAGTATTGAATCCTGGAGCGGCATTATGCAGTTGTTGACTTTTACAAGCGCCTATCTGGCTTTGATTTGCGTTGCAGCAGCATCACAAAGTCTCAACCCTGTTATTGACATGAACAATGAAGTCACATTTTTACAAAAGAAATGACTCAGCTGGCCAATTAAAGCAAAGATCCGACACAAAGAAGCATCCATACGAAGTGGGAATATGTCACCATGCAAGGCCTCGTAATAATAACACTGCTTTGTCCTTCTCTTTATTGAAATGAGAATAAGGCTTTTCAGTCTTTGTAGTCGAAATGTCTCGAAACTCTTCACCGCAAATTAGAGTAGGTGAAGGAGGGAGGGTTTGAGATTTGGCTCTAAAACACACAAAAAAAATGCTTCTGGCTTCTGATAATAAAGCCATAAATGTGTCAACAACTCAGGATGACCCTAAAGTACCTCTCTGGTCATTAATGAAACCCTTAAAAACTCTCATCTATGTATGAAAGTCACACATTTAGAAGCTTTTCTGTTCAAATGAATGTGAGCCGGCACTGTTGCCTCCTCAGCCGCGGCATTTACTGCGTATTTTGCTCAAAAAATGTCTTCAAGTACACAAAAAACACCATGAAAACATGTTCACAAGGAATAATAACTTGATTTTCACCAAAGGCAGCTTTTAAATGTGTCCTTTTTGCTCTCCAGAGCAGCAACATCAGCTCTTTAAAGTGTCGCTCTTTCGAAAAAGATCTGAAATTTTTTTGTTTTTGTTGCTTAAAATCATTTTTCTAAATTCTCAGATGCAGTAATCTTCATTTTTTAAAAATATTGTTACATGTTTCGAGATAATTCCATCAGTGTTGGAAACAAGTAGAACACACTTGAACCCACTGGCAAAGAGAACCTGGTTCGAGCTTGAATGGCCTGTCAAGATGGAAACTACGATGGTGTCTTGTGCAGACGAAGGCCCCCGAGGTCAGGATAAGTGCATCCTAAAGTGAGCGTGTGTTTTCAGATCCCGGTGGCGGAGCGAGGCGAGCTGGTGCGCCAGGGCGAGCTGACGGTGTGCGGAGGCGGCCGGAGGAAGCGGGCCGGCGTCAGGAACGTTTTCCTCTACCAGCACATGGTCATCTTCACCAAACAGAAGAGTCCTGGTCCGGGACGCACCGCCTACAGCTACAAGCACAGCGTCAAGGTACAGACTGCTGCTTTCTTTCCATTTCTCTGTGTTTGAAGAGTTACGTGGAAAACCTGTATTCTGTGTTAAATCTGAGGTGCTTGTATTTCCTGGCTGAGAAGACGCCGAAGACAAGATGCACACTTTGTACACTCTCTCTCCTCCGTACAGACCAGTGAGATGGGTCTGACTCAGAGCGTTGGTGAAGACGGACTGAAGTTCGAAGTTTGGGTCCGAACAGCTCTGAAAACCAAAGACTGCATTACGCTGCAAGCCCAGGACAGGGAAGGCAGGCAGGCCTGGACTCATGACATCGCTCATCTGCTGTGGACGCACGCCATCAACAACACAGGTACAGCCTGACCTCTAGGCGTCAAATCAAGACCCTTTAAATTGACATCGAACCCTGCTGTATAACAGTGCTGATGTATTAAAGGGAAAGCGCGCTGACATTTAACAGTGCCGATGCATGTGTAAAAAGAGTTGGATAAAACCTTTTGTAGCTCCAAAGGAAGCTGCGTGAAGTCTGACAGGTGACATAACTTGACATAACTCATCTCTGCATGAGGTTACATTAGCCTCTCTAACACGGCGCACAAATCTCCGGCAAAAACTGTCAGCTTTTAGATGCATTGTGCGTAATGTGGTCACCGAAGAATGCCTGAATAAAAAACAAGGATAAATTCTGATCCTTTAAGTGTACCGTGTGAGTAACATGTTGTCACGTCAGCTGCGGTGAAATATCACCTCGTCCTGATTTAATGGCATTTTCTTGGCACAAGTCGAGCATGCGATGAGTTTAAAGCAGGAAAACACACTAAACATGTGTCCACTGCAGAGGAAGAGGTTCAGTTTGTGATTCTTAGCCAATAGACTTTCGTTCAAATCCAACAAATTCAAAAAATCCTGGTGCAAGTGTTGAGTTTTGATAAAGACTGGATCGTGTAATAAAGCCAATCTTCCTGGTTCTTTCAATAAATTAACCTTTTAAATGACCTTTTCCTGTCAAAAAAGACTGTTTTAATGTTGTTATAATATCCATATGGTGTTTTTTTATATGATATAAGACACAACATGAGCAGAATAAGCAGCCAACGCCGTCAACCTGCAGCATATTGAGGTTTCATACATAATAAATGTAAGAAATCAATCCTGTTGACCTGCAGGGCTGAACTTTACGTAGCATTCTCCTTCTTCAGAATAATTTTCTGGCTTCAACATGTGTGGCTAAATTACGCCAGTGATTCAACTGGTCGGTGTGTAACGCAGCAGTAGTGAGCTGGTGTGCTCGAGCTGCAGCAAGTAGTGCAGATAGAGGTGGGGGCTTCATAGATCAAGAGGAAGAAATAGTGCTGAGTTACGTCGAAGACATTTCAAAGCTTCAAGGGATTATTTTTTATGAAAAAAGAACATCCATATGCAACTTGAATATTTGGGTGGTTTCTGGACGACTGCAGACAGACTTTAATGACGGTGCTCACCTCAGCACATGCAAATGTTCCACTGAAACACTCGAGTTCTCCCCCTCGACGCTGTTGTGCAGCAGCATCGGTGGCTGTGTGAGGCTTGTGCACAGGCCAGCAGGTAAATCTGGCAGCGACCAACTGTTAAAATATGCAACCAGCTCAATGTCAACACTCTCAGAGTCCACCTTTAAAGGGTAACGTCCCCATTTGTCAGCCCGACTCACCGCTTCTGTCATGCGGATGGGATCAGAAAACATGATTTAAGAGACGGTGGATGGAGTCATTTTATTTAGCGGTTTAGTTTTTTTATTTGTAGTTTACTATAAATGTGCTTGAGAGGATAAAGGCCACCGGTTCGGTTTAAGATTTTTGCAGACTAAACAAATCTGATTCGTCTTTGTGTAACTGTATCTGGGATGATAATTGCCTTTCCTGTGAGCACAGAACATATAAAAATATCACCGCCAGGCCACTTTGCCGTTTCATTTTTTTTTTTTTTTTTGCTCCTTTGCTTTTCAAACACAAGGAACTGCTGACTATCACATGTCTCCTTGTATGCATAAACTCTTGCATCTCAGCTTTGCTTCCTGTCGCTGGCTTAGATTACAGCATCACCTTGGAGAAGATGCTCTGCAGCTTGCTTAAAGAGGGGACATAGCTGTTCTTAAAGTGGCACCTGACTCCTGCCATCAATAAAAGTGACGATATCTGACTTTACTGTAATATGCCTTAAATGAGAATATGCAGTTGCTTCTGTTTTGGATTTACATTTTTACATTATTTCCCCTCTCTCCTCTCCCAGAGTTGTGTCTGAAGGAGTCTCTCTGCATGGGAATTTCCAGTAAGCTTCTGCTGGATGCAAGTGGAACTCAAGGTTCAGAGCTGGACTCCATCTACAGCCTCAACGACAGAGGTAGGCTCAAGAAGGAATACATCTGGAGCACATCTGCTGTACAGGAATTCAGTTTTAGGTCCAAACCAGCCATGTTTCAGAGCAAAAACTGTGCTGTCACTGCCATCACTTTGGATACTAACGATAAACAAACCATCTGCTGTAGACAAAGGGAAATATTCTGCTGCCTTCTTTGTTCATTTGACTAACTCTTCTATACTGTCGAGCAAAATGTGCTTCTACAAAGTTTACATGATGTTGGTTTTGACTCTATGTCATGTAGATGGTTTCAGGACGACCCGTTTTATCAACAGCAATGTGTGATTATAGGAAATGATTGCTCTGATTTGTTACACCTGTCAAAAGGAGTCCCACAGGGCTCAATCTGGGGTCCCATCCGGTTTATAGTTTACATCCACCATAACAAAATGGAACACCATTCAATACGTGGATGATACAGTTCTGTTTGCTAATACTGCAAAGTCAGCCACTGAAATCCTGCAACAAGCTTTTGACCAGTTAAAGACGCACTTTTTACTGTGAACAAGACCAAATACTCCTTTAGAGCTTCAGAGATATTGTGGACGACAGTTTGCACCGTGAGTGGACGGAGAGGGGATCTGTTCACATCAAAAACTTACATCACAATGACCCACCCTGCAGCAACCTACGACAGAAAAAAGGATATTTGTGCAGCTACTTTTCCCATGTTCAGTAGTAAGCAAATAATTGTGGCCGTCTTCTTGCCTGTATTAGATTATAGTGAAGTCATCCATAGACACGCCTCTGCCTCCACTCTGAAAGCCTTGATGCAGTTTAGCCCTCCGCTCTAAGATTCATTACTTGTGACAGTTATTCAACTCATCACTGCTTATTATATGAAAAAGTTGGCCGGCCATCTCTGGCAGGAAGACGTGACAGACATCAGTTTCTTGTTATTTATGAGAGCGGAAAGATGCCACCATACATAAATTCTTTGTTAAACTGCTCCCAAAGTCATAACTCCACATGTTCAAGCAATTAGCTAATATTTGAAGTCCCATGTGCACACACTGGATTTGGGAAAACTGCTTTTAGTTTCACACAGACTTAACACAACCATACCTGTTGTGCCTGTCCTCTCAGCACAACACAAAAGAGGACATGCCCTCAATGTTCCTCGATGTTTTAATAGAACAGAGCAGAATATAAACTCCAGAGATCAGTTCAGTGTTTTAGCTTAAACCACACAGCTCCACTAGTCACCTCACACACACAGAAACCATTTGTCAGCTCAAACTGTGTCTTCAGGACGTCGCTGGGTTTTATGTGACCAGATTGGATTACTGGATTGTTCAAATTTGCTCTGTGAGCCGAAAGTGATGTGGCCCCGAGATTACAGACAGGAAACAAAACGGGTCCTGGGTGTATCTCCCCATGTGACAAGGTAATAATGTGGTACATGTTTTTTTCAATCTCGCACCCCGAGGCTACTCTATGAATTTTTGATATTTGTCTCACACTGAGAAATTTTGAAGAGCTGTGACATGCCTGCGGAGAATATATAGCGCAGTCAAAAAGCTCAACTGTGGAAGCACATTTTACTTCTGCTCTGATCAAATCCCATCACAACCTCCACCGCTGTGTCTGCCTTTAACTGCTTTTAAGGCAGACGCAGGAGCGACAACCTTTGTCTTAATTTTGAAACTGTATCCTTAAACAATACATGCAGCCTACATGGGTGTTAAACAGCTACCATGGATTTCTTGTCCTTCTCTTAATCGTGTGTGGGTGATAAAGCAAAATTATGCTTGATGGATTTCTTATGCATCATGATGATATGACTACTATTAGTGGCACGATTACAAAACAATAATGCATTAATGCAAAATGATAGGTCCTGGAATCAGCTTTTCTCTCAGGTGAAAGTATAGAAATATTAACAAAATGTACTTAAAGTATTAAAAAGTGACAGTACTCATTACTTTTAGGGATTTTTTACTAACTGTGGGCTCATTTTTCACTGCAATATCAAGTCCTGCACCTCTACGGAAACAAGAAGAAGGGAGAGAATTCAGCTATAATGTCAGAAATCTTTTTTTCTTTAAAGTCTTTGATTATATATTTTTACAAAGGCACACATACAACACTTTGCCCACAGGTGTCCCCCACCAATACATGATAACTCTACACACTATAGATATTTTACTGCCTAATTGTTTAGTATGTCTCCATACTTGTCACCTATCTGCTCCGTGCAAACGCTGTCTGCAGTTCAGCCCAGTTAGGCCGACAAATCACTAAATTTTTCTGGCAGATATTCTTTTTTTTTTAGCTCTGTCTTCGTCAACTGCTGAGGGAAAATATCTGTAGCTCTTAAGCAGATAAAAGTTTGAATTTGTTCATAGGCTTTTGTCTAACTTTCTGATGTTTGGTGTCGTGCAGGAAGCATATTGTGGGATTTTAGGGTTTTGTCGGCCATAAAATGAAAACGCTGAGCTAAAAATGCCCTTTCGTAATATGTAATATGGGTTCTAACCCTATAACCCAGGCCTGTTGCTGTATTTCTAAATGCAAGTTTAAGCAGGGGCACAAGTTCAGAGAGAGCTTGTATGCAAAAACAGCCACAAACATTTAGAGGAAGAGACCCTCGACACAATAAGTTCACAACAGTTTCCACACAGTCATAAATCTACCTTTAAAATGCACATAATTACTAGAGAGGACCATGAACCAAGTTATGATCGTGCTCACAAAATCCCCAACACGATGGTAAATAAGGATATTACAAAATCTGATGGCTAAAGACAAGCGCCGTCCACAGAGATACGCCACAGAACAGTCGGATAAAAACACTTAATCTCGGTACAATTCCTCGGATTCCAGACCCACTATTCACTCTCCGAAGGCCGTTGTTGCCTCAGAGCCAAAGTGATTTGCCATTCATGGCTCGGTGCAATGCACATACTGCTCACCAGGTGTCTCATTGAGTGGCGCAGCTCAGGATTTCAATGCATGAATTGTCCTCTGGGACAGAACATGGTGTTAGAAATTCATTGAACAGGATGAGAAAAATGCCTTCTCACTCTGACTCCTCTCTTTGTCTCCGCCATACCTGATCTCCTCTTTCTTTTCAGTCCAGGAAAACATTATGATGTAGAGAATCTCACACCATAAACGTGCATTAATACAACACAATGCAATTTACTCAAAAATCCATGCATGTAAATTGTGCTTCCCTGCCGGACGGGGTTGTTATTCTGAAAAAGGAGAGCACGTCTGAATGATGTCTGACACTTGGTGCTATCTGTTAACCTGTAGCCATACTCTGTCTTTCTGTGTCTCAGTCCACAGTAGCTGCTCAGACTCCTCCTCTGTCGGCAGTCAGAAGGAGGGGGGATCCCCGGCGTCTGGGAGGGACCCCAGGAGAAGCTCTGGATCAACAAGCTACTCACAGGTGGGTCTGGAGAGTCCACATGTAACACACAATCCAGTGATGCCAAAGTGAATGGGAGCAGTTTGTATTTGCAGAAAACACTCAGCGAGGTTAAATATAGATGCGAGGTGATGAATGTGTTTTTCTTTTGGCGCTGGAAGCAGGGCCTCCTTTTCAGGCCAAAGGTTTTCCAGGAATCTTTGTATTTCTGTTGCATTTCCCCAAAAAAAGTCCCTCATAAACCTTCTGGGTCTGGTTTGTAATGCTGAGGCTGATTAAATACCAGCTTAAAAACAACTAAAACATGACAATATGTTTGTCTTAAATTAGTTTAAAATGAGGTTTAAACAAACGTGCAGCTAAGTGGATGTCAAGACACCACCGTGAACTGAGCTCTTTCTCATATTTCTTTACATCTCTCCACCACTGCTGTCTGATAAAGGCAAGATTTTTTTTTCTCCTTCATTTGATACCAGTCAGTACAATAGAGACGAGAAAGGAGGCGAGAGAAAGCAGGGATGATCCGCAGCAGAGGTTCCCAGCTGCACTCAAACCAGAGCCGGTGAAATCATATGGTCAGAGTCTTAGACACCAGATGCCTGAAATTTGTCATCTTCTAATCTGTTAGCAGTAATTTGCCTAATCCTCAAGACTAATTGTCTTTTTTTTTTTTTTTACATTTTTGGTGAGATGCATTCAAAACCCCAATGTTGGTTTGTAATTTTTCTAGCATTTGTTTTTTTTCCTCTTTCTCTTATATTGGTGCTCATCAATAGCTGCAGTCTGGACAAAGACCACCAGGATGCTGTTGTACAGGTGTAATCAGCCGGTCTCAGTCTAATGTGCTTACAGAGCTCCACATTGTTCTGTCGCAGCCTAAAATACTCCCACACTTCAGATGATTGTGAGGTTTTATAGCTACAGCTTCTCTCTGGGTGCAGCCACCTTTTGCGACACGCAATCGATAAAGTCACGAGTGTCGTTCTCAAAAACTGCTCAACCAAACTACTTCACACTTGACACTGAAGTTTCTTGGATCCCCGACGATACACCTGCCGAGTTTGGAGTGGATCAGATGAGCGGATGCAGACAAACACAAAGACACACAAACACTTCTCATTGTCCCATCGGTGGATCTTCAATAACTTAAAGGCACATTAAGGACATGGACTAACAGGAGATCCCGTGAAGAGCTTAGCGTGCAGGAACACAGGTGTATCCTACGCGGAGGTCTTTTATCAAGTAGCGTGACGTATAAAAGCCGCACCTTCGTGGGCGTTGCTTTGATTCATACAGCTGTTCATAAGTCACTGGTGTCACTTGACACTGTGGAACAAAGGATTCCTCATTTTGGCAGCATCGACTCCGTCGTCCTCGGATCGCTCTCACATCCTTGCTGGGAAGAGACGCGAGGCGAGGAGATACGTTAGCATAATGAAAAGCACCCAGAGACTCCTTCTTCTATTAGTGAGATTATATGTTATACATAGAAGATTTTTTTTTTTTTTGAAGCAAACAGGAGTTCACGAATGACACTTTTAATTACTGCTCCGGTCCCTGAGACTCGTTGGCTCCCACCACTGTTTGGATGAAATGATGAATAAAAATGTGTGGACTTTGGATGAAAATGTCACCATTTGTGTGCAACATATGTCTGTGATTAGTGGTGATGAAGCTGCTACACTTTCCCCCGAGGTGATGTATATATAAAAAAGGTGTCCTTCAAACAGTGGAAGCATTTCTATATGTTTATAAAAGTGAGAACACAATGCATACATCTAGCTGTAAGCAAACAGCAGTACCTGCCTGTCATCTCCATGGTAAGTTTAAATGAATTTGCTCTGTGCGCACACATATACAAACACACACACATCCTCTCAATCTCCTTATCTAGCAAACAGAATATGACAGATTGGCAAACAGACTGCGCTGGGAACAGATTGACAGACAGACGGACACACGCAGCCCAAACAGACAGTGCAAACACGCAGACAGCGATATGCACATATTCAACAACAGAGGGAGGATTGCCGCCTGTGCACGCGCACGTGCACGCCTCAGCGCGAACGCACACTTAAGTGCGGAATATAATATGTGACTGTTTCTTCCTCCACAGAGTCAGTCTCCCTCCACAGCTGTGTGACTGTCATCTCAATAAGAGTAAGTTTACTCTGATTATTACATGTTTCTTTCATGTTTTCTTCCTCTCTGTTGTCGATCTCTTTACATCTCCTGCTCATGTCACCCCGTCCTCTCTTTGTGGTGCTACACTTTTTTATTGATTCCTCGCTTTTTTTTTTTTTCTCATGAAAACATTCATAAAATGTGTAACTGTTAATGTTTTCTTCTCTGTCTGTAACTTTTTACATGCAGAAACTGGACTTTTTGAAGCTTTAAACATCTCCATTCCACCTCTGGGGGAGCCGAGCTGGAGTTCGAGGAGCAAAGGAGACAAAAGCGAGACCCTCCGACTCTGTTTGAACTTCTCCCACATGCTTGCTCTCCTTCCCCGTTTCCCCCCTTGTTCCCCTTCACCTCCTTAAAATAAATAAAATGCCAGCAGATTAGGCGGAGCAGCACAGCGCTGCTTTCTAAACCTCCCAGCTCTGATATGACCCCCCCAAAGAAAAGCTGCATCCAAAAAGGATCAAAACTGCCCTGTTTAAACCATGACAAGCACCAGCAGGGCTCTCTGCGCTCCGCCATTTTGGATCTGCCAGTCTCAGTTGCTGGCAGAGTCATTGACACCAAAGGCACTTCAGCCACACAGTGCGGCCATTGTCTGCCCCACGGCTCCCCACTAGGCCAAACCACTTGGTCTGAACCACTGACTGCCTGGCTGGCTGACTGTACGCATCACATGCTCCAGCATCTGATAATAAACAGGAAGTAATATGCAGGGCGTAAATCCACCGTAGGATTGCAGATTTAGAATGTATTATGTACTTTGTCATTTTCATAACGCTGAATGGAGTACTGTAGGCTTTATTTTCCTGCCTGTGTAAAAATGCGTGGCATAGCTAGGTGTGATTGCATCTATGTAAATTAGGCAAGGGTGGTGTGAGCATGCACACACACACACACACACACACACAGAGTGACACACACAATGTCCCCCCAACACATGCAGTCACTCTTATTGTTATAAGACAGTGGAGTACTGTTCACATTCACATGCTCACACAGTGGCCGTGGCCGGTTTAGAGCCTGGCACAGCGGCCACATCAACGACAGGCAAGGTTCCATCTGAACACGTACAGTAAAGCTTTGCCTTGATGAAGAACAGGAGTGATTTACACGATCATATCTGACTGCTATACAGTCTGTTCATGTGTTTGTTTAAGCTACTTGTTCTTATTAACAGTGGCAAGAATTTATAGGACAAAATGGTATTTAGTCTTCTTTAAAGTGTAACTTATATCAACAACATCTTGGTGCCTTAAAATGTTCTGCAGTGTACTGATAAGTTTTGATAATGAATTTAATGCCTTTCCTTTTTAATATAAGATGCCATAGTCTATATACCAAAGGTATAAAAAGGGTGTCTGTGCAATGCTGATGTGTGTACAAAGAGGTGTTGTTTTACATTCAGCCTCGGCGTTCCTGACTGGAACGCTGTCTCCATGAGATGGAGAAAGGTGGACCCGTTCAGCGTGATACATTGCAGTTTTACTGGTTTTGATCTCGCGGTCAGAAGACATGAACTACATCTGATTATTTTTGAAGAGGTAATTTAATCAAATCTGACCCTTTGCTTCTGCTTGAAGGAAGAGGTTTCCCCAGAATGCCCCCAAAAAGATTATTTTCAGCCTTTTT